TGCAAGAATCAAGTCAATTAAGGACCTTAATATAGGACATGAAACTTGAAGCTACTACAAGAAAGAGCAGGGAATACACTAGAATTAACAGGCAGTAACGTCCTAAATAGAACTCACATGGCTCAGCAACTAAGAGAACGGATTTACAAATGGGATTCCATGAAATTACAAACTTCTACACAACAAAAGAAATAGTCTCTAAATTGAAGATGTTACCCACAAAATGAAAGAAAATCCTTGCCAGCTGTACATCTGACAAGAGTTTGTTAACGAGAATATTCAGGGAGCTCAAAAAACTGAACTTCCCAAAATTCAGTGATCCAGTGAAGAAATGGGAATAGGAAATGAACAGAGCTTTCTTAAAGGAAGAAGTCCAAATGGCTAAATAATACATGAAGAAATGCTCAACATCCCTGGACATTCATGTTAAAATTCAACATCATTCTTGTTAGAATGGCTGCCATCAAGAACAAAACCAACAAATGTTGGTGAGAATATGGGGAAAAGGAACCTTCATACACTGTTATTGGGAATGTAAATTAGTACAACCACTATTGAAAACAGTATGGAGACTCCTCACAAAACTGTAAATAGAACTGCCATATGATTCAGCAATTCCACAATTAGGGATACAACCAAAGGATGTAAGTCAGGTTACAACAAAGGCACTTGCACTACCATGTTTATTGCAGAATCATTCATAATAGTTAAGCTATGGAAACAGCCAAGATGCCCCAATAGCAATGACTGGATTAAGAAAATGTGTTACTTATATACAAAGGAATTTTCAGCCTCAAGGAAGAATGAAATTTTATTGCTTGCCGGTAAGTGAATGGAACTGGAGAACATCATTTTATGTGAAGTTAGCTCATTCAGAAGGGCAAAAGCTACATGCTTTCTCTCATGTGGAATATAGACCTAATACAAATAACAGCCATGTTATAAAAAACAGGTCATGCTAAAGGAGGTCTCACAGGAGAGGGGGAAGGTAAAAGAAGCAAGTAAAGAAGGAGAATATGGTTGATTTAGTCAACATAATGATTAATATATAATTTTTAAACTAGTTGAAACAACTATAAGAAGGGGACTGAGGGGGAAAGAAGAAAAATAGAGCAGATGAACCAAATCAGGCTAATATACAATACATACATGCATATATATATTTTGAAGTGCTATAATGAAACTACTTGTGTAGCTGTCTTAAACACTAAAAAATATCATTTTTTCCTTAAGTTTGTAAAATTAGAGAACAGGAGTGTGGAACAAGTCCTGCCTGAATGAGATGATACCAGTGGATGGGAGAGGAAGTGGAGAATGTGTGTAGGAGTGTGAATATGATGGAAATACTGTGTACACATATATGTAAATGGAAAAATGACACCTTTTAAAACTATTCCAGGAAATGTGGGATTACAAGTAAAGGAGAATTGAGAGCATTGTAAATTTCAAAATGTACCCCTACCAAGAACAATAAAAAAGAATCAAAATCAAATAAAACATGTAGATGTCCTGATCTCAGAACAAATCTAATTTAATCAGAATATCTGCATGTGACATTATGGTTTTCCCCTCTTATAGCAGGGTTGTGAACAGCACATTAGAATATTAGTAGGCATTTAGAACATCCTACCTAAAAAGCAACTGTTTTGACTATCAATAATATATACTACCTATATTAAAATTTGAACATACCATAACATTCATTTCTGATCTAATATATTACATTGTTTTGTGTTATCAGTTGTGAAATTTGAAGCCATGTTATCGCTGCATCTTTCAATTGTCTGGCACACTTCTTCTTAAAAGGAAACTATGGCCAGGAATTGGTCAGTGTGTGTATTTCCCTCTCAATAGTTCCACAACAGTAATGATATATGAATCCATAAGTACTTTCTTGAAGAATTTACCTAATGCTTAGGTAAATCTCACATAAGTCTTGTACAAGGAAATTACCTGTTACCTATAGAAGATGATAATTTACCCCAAGGTGTATTTTTTAAGTATCTCTTTTGTGTCAGTTGGAAGCCAATTTAGATGACAATTCTGAATATGAGAAAGACTAATAGCCTGCTCTTTTGCACAGAAATAATGAGTTTATCTCAGCCCAGAATAGTGGAGAGCAACTGTAATCCCAGCTAATTTGTAGACAGAGAATCATGGTTTCAAAGTCAGCACAGTCAAAATAATAAGACTCTATCTCTCAAAAGAAGACAGACATTCTTGTGTACATCTTTAATTATACCTTCTCATGTGGTCCAGGTAAGAAGATTACAATCTGATGCCAGCCTTGAGTGAAGCCCCAGAGCTTATATGAAAAAAAAACTCCAAATAAATAGAAAGGGCTGAAGTCATGGCTCAAGTAGAAGGTTGATTACCTAGCAAACATGAGGCCCTCAGATAAAAACTCTAGTACTACCAAAAAAGTAAGAGTTGATTCAACAAGAATCCTAACTACTTGTCAATCTGTGAGTAACGCTGACTAATCTTTTTCATTTGCTTCTAAACAAAAGAAAGTTTTAAGCAGAAGCACCTATGTCCTAGCCATGTGTCCAACTCAGCAACATTTTAATCCTTCTCCTGTCTCTTGAGCAGGAATGAATGCCCTTGAGGTTGAGTGGCTGATTACAAGAATGCATGGAGAGCTGCAAGGACATCCTGGAGTCCTGCAGTGTGAGAAATCAGTACTTAATTATCATGTGTCTTCTCACTGGATGATGTGATCCTAGCAAGTCCGTTATTCTATAAATGTTGCAGCAGTTGACACCAATGGTCTATCTTGTGGTATGCCAGATATCCCCAATTGAATGCCACAGGAAGGAATCTTTCTTTTCTTGAAGTTATGGGGAAGTGAAATGATTAGTCAAGAGTCAAGAGGAAAAACTAGAAATGTCCTACTCAGATGCCCTGTGACAAGTCACACATTACAGGTCAATTCACACATGACTTCCAAGATTTCCTGCTGTGCTCACCAATAATCTCCCTTCTGTTTCATGTCATTGTAAGAATCTGGATTCTGCATATGAGAAAATATATTAGTTTTTGTCATTCTGAGTCTGGCTTATTTCCCTTAACATGGAGAACTCTAGTAAATGACACAATTCCATTCTTTATAATGGATAATACTTGGTTGTATGTTAGTACCACACATCCTTTATCCTTATTGATGGGCACCTATGCTGATTTCATAACTTGCTCACTGTGAGTAGTGTTACATAATCATTGTTGTGTAGATATCCTATTGTATGCTCTTCAAGACACTTTTTGATTTCCAGTTACTTTAGCTGGTGATGCAGGAATAAATAACTGAGGACAGAGAAAGCATTTCTGGGAAATTGTGATAGAACCAAATGGTAACAAATTCTAATGCTTCTTACATAAGGTAAAAAGCAACTGATAGATAAAACCCAAATATGCAGCAGGCTTAATACTTCTCTCCAGATGATTGGATTCTCAGAAGGGAGGAAATAACATTTTAATAACATAAAATTATCCATCTGATGGGGAAACACCAAATATCACTCAGACAAAATAAATGAAACTATTATCTGAAAAGGTTTAAGAACAGGAATAATTGAGCAATTCAGAACAGTTGAAGAAGAAATGGGAAATTTTCATATTATTGAAACAGTAAAATTGTAAGGCAACTGAATTATAATGTCAAAAGTCTAAAGCTTAACCAAAAAGCTGAGCACCACAAAAAATCACATAGAATTATCTCTACCCTTGTCTTTATGTATGGAATACACTGGACAAGAAAATGTCTATGTTGCTAAATAGAGCTAAAAGTCCTGATGAGCATGACATAGACATGAACATGGATATTTGATGTTGTCTCTCACTCTTCAAACTTTACTGGAAGGGATGAAAGTGACTACAGTTAGGCCCAAAGTGTTTGGAATCAACATTGATTATGGCCATTTACTTTGAATCAATAAGAGCAAGTTCCATGTTTTTATGGTAACATGTTTCATGTTTATAGTAATGGTTCCTAGGTATCAGCTTTGTATACAATCTGAAGAATCAGAAATAAGCATTGGTTAACTATCACTAATATATGCATAAATTTCACAACCATAAAAACAAACCACCAACGTGACTGAAAAAGAAACATAAAGAGTTCATATCCCAGAATATTTTAATAGAAATTTGTGAAGTGTAACCTTATCATGATTGCTAATAATGATATATAAATTGTAGATTGTGCTTATTTTATGCATTCATCACCTATTAATATCATAGGAAGAAGCTATTATCAGTCTAATACAACCAATACCATTGCATCAACTAGAATTCACCTCATACTGTAATTCTGAGTATCAGAGATACTAGCGACCTCCATATGTGACAGGAGTAAGGTGTGATACAGATGTAAACAGTAATTTGCCAGGTTCTGGGTCTGTTTCACTATTTCATTGATTACTATCCAACTAGAAGGTTGAGCATAGGTCCACAGTTCTAAAGAACATTTTGGCCTTGTGAACATTCTCTTGTTCCTCTTTCCTGAGACAGAGTGAAAATAAATACTGAATTCCAATATATTTTTGGGTTTTCATAGACAGGTTATCACATTGGAGGAGGATTTGACTGCTACAGAGATATAACCAGAGTATGGCAAATTGAGACCCCTGCTGATTATTGTGTAACTTCTCTTTCTACAAGCTTTGTTTCTGATTTAATACATCTTTCCTGTATTGAAGCAGCAGGTGCCATCAAAGTCTGTGATTTACTTTGAATCTCAAAATGGAAGAGGACTGTGAAATGGGTCACTTCTTATACAGACATAGAAACAAATGTGAGCAGATGCAAGATGGAGATGGAACAGAGATGCAGACCTCATGAGCTCCTGAACCAGAGACCCTGCCGAGAAGCTGGAGACACACCTGGCTGAGGTAAAGCACCAGGGATATCCAAAAATATGACACTCTAAACCCTTAGATCATGGAAGGCTTCCCCATGCCATGATATAATAAAAGAACAGCTGGCCTGCCAAATCCCCATACTGTAGGCCTGCAGAGCCACTGCTCTGTTCTGCAGGGCTCTCTGTCCCTAGGACTGCTCCAGGCCACAGCCCTGCACCGGACCCATGCACAGTGGGATTCCCACCTCTCCAGCTGCGCTGGATCCACAAACCACCGGGATACCCACCTCTCATCTGTGACAGACCCCAGCCCACCCACCTCTCATCTGTGACAGACCCCAGCCCCAAGACAGACCCACAACACTCTGGGATACCCTGCCCTCAGCTGCACCATGCAACAGCTTTGAGCTGGTCTCACAGCCCACTGGGATACCTGCCCCTCAGCCCACCATCCTTCAGGCCCTGCTGAGCCACAACGGTGTGTGGGGTGACCAGAACACTGCACCTCAGGCCCTGCCAGGCTCCAGCTCTGTGTGGAACAAATGGAGGCCCACCGTGCTGGGACAGGTACCAGCTTGGCATGAGACATCTGCATCCACCAGCCTGCCAAGATCCCGCTCCTTGGGCAAAGCCAGCCCCAGCTTTACAGGCTTTCCCTATAACCACTCCTCCAGGCTCCCATCGGGCTGCCACTAGGTTGCTCCAAGCATGCCTAAGAGACACAAGCAAACAGAAATGAACACTAAAGGAGTAACAGAAGAACTAAACCTGGAATTCTACTGTTCCAGAACTGGTGACTGTTTTTTCTTTTTATCCCTTCCTTAAGGCTTTGCCTGCCTGGTTTGCTGTTTGATCACCCACCATCTCTCCCATTTAAAAAATTTTTTTCCTCACTTCTCTCTTCCTTTTACCTTTCCTTCTATTTCTCTTTTTAATCTGTCTCTCATGATTTTGTTAGTATTAATATTGTAACCGAGCTAACACTAAATTACCCATAGTCAAGTGATAGAAACGTTACCTAGTGGAAGTATGGGAAAAAGAAAAAGGAATGGAAACCATTCTCCCTCCAACAAATTAAGTAGTACAGGATTTAGAGTGACATGAAGAAAATGGATACCCAGATAAAGACTCCAACAAAACAAAGATAAACTACACCAAAGAACCCAACAAAGACCACAAGAACACTCTGAAAGAAGAAATTCTATAAGTAATTAATGAAAATTTCATAGAGATGTTACTAGACGTGGTCAACCAAAATGTACAGGAAGCCCTAAGAAATTCCAAGACAACAAAACAAAAGAATATGAGAAAGCACAGAAACAAATAAATGAAATCATAGGATCCCTAAATAAACACCAAACTGAAACAGAGATCACCATAAACAGAGAGATAAATGAATTAAGAGCAAAAATTGACAATATTAAAGAGGAAATAACCCACTACATGGAAAACCTCAGAAAAAAGAATGAAACAGAAATACAAAGCAAAATGGAAGGCCATTCTAGCAGAACAGAACAAGCAGAAGACACAATCTTACAACTTGAAGATGAAATGGCACTTAAAGGAAAAAGTGAAGAAAAATTAGTTAAAAAACTCAAGATCTGTGAAAAGAAAATGCAAGAACTCACTGACTCCATAAAAGACCAAACCTGAGAATCATGGGCATTGAAGAAGGAGAAGAGGTGCAAGCAAAAGAAATGCATAATATATTCAACAAAATAATAACAAAAAATATCTCAAATTTAGAGAAAAGTATGCCCATTCAGGTACAAGAAGCCTTCAGAACACCAAACAGACCTGACCAAAATAGAACTATCCCAGGACATGTTATCAGTAAAACAACAAGCACAGAGACTAGAGAAAGAATATTGAGGCTGTAAAAGAGAAAAAACAAATAACATACAAAAGTAAACCCATCAAAATCACAGCAGACTTCTCAATAGAAAAATTAAAAGCAAGAAGAACATGGAGTGAAATCTTCCAAGCACTGAATGAAAATAAATTCAATCTTAGGATACTCTACCCAGCAAAACTATCATTCAAAATAGATGGAACAATAAAATTTTCCTTGATAAGCAGAAATTAAAACAATATGTGACCACCAAGCGACCACTACAAAAGAATCTCCAAGGAATTTTGCACACAGATAATAAAAGCAAACAAAAAAATGAAAGGGCAGGCAATACCAAACCACAGGAGAAGAAAAGGCAAGAAAGTAAAGAGGAACACTGATTCAGCTACACACAATCAAACCCTTAATCAACAAAGACAACTACATGACAAGAATCACCACGTACTTATCAATACTAACACTGAATGTTAATGGACAAAATTCCCCCATCAAAATACACTGACTGGCAAACTGAATTAAAAAGGAAGATCCAACAATCTGCTGCCTACAAGAGACCCACCTCAATGAAAGAAATAAGCAGTGGCTGAAAGTGAAAGGCTGGAAGAAGATTTACCAAACCAATGGTTCCCCAAAAATAGGCAGGGTAGCAATACTTATCTCGGACAAAGTATATTTCAAACCTACATTGATCAAGTGAGATAAAGATGGACACTGCATACTAATAAAAGGGGAAATACACCAAAAGGAAATAAAAATTATCAACCTATATGCATCCAATGTCAATGCACCCAGTGTCATCATACCCCCCTATGACCAATAGGGGCTCCAAAAAATATTCAAACAAAAAATCTAATAAAGAAATCTTAGAACTAAATAACACCATAGATCAAATGAACCTAGCTGGGGTCTACAGAATATTTCATGCAACTTCTACACAATACACATTCTTCTCAGCAGCCCATGGAACATTCTCCAAAATTGATCATATCTTAGGCAAAAAGCAAGCCTCAGCAAATATAAGGAAATAGAAATAATCCCATGCATTCTATCTGACCACAATGCATTAAAACTAGAAATCAACAACAAAAACAGCAGTAAAAAACATGCAAACATTTGGAAGCTGAACAACCCATTGCTCAATGACAAATGGGTCATTGATGAAATAAAAGAGGAAATTAAAATGTTCCTGGAAGTTAATGAAAATGAAAACACTACCTACCAGAACCAATGGGACACAGCATAGGCAGTCCTCAGAGGAAAGTTTATATCCATGAGTTCATGTATTAAAAGGACAGAAAGATCCTAAATCAATGACCTAATACTACAGCTCAAACTCCTAGAAAAACAAGAACAAGCAAATCCCAATAATAATTAAGGGCTAAAATCAATGAAATAGAAACAAAAAAATACAAAAAATCAATGAAACAAAAAGCTGGTTCTTTGAAAAAAATAAATAGGATTGACCTACCCCTGACAAACCTGACTAAAATGAGGAGAGAAAAAACCCAAATCAGTAAAATCAAAAATGCAAAAGGAGAGATAACAACAAACACCATGGAAATCATCAGAACTACTTTCAGAGCCTATACTTAAATAAATTTGAAAATCTTGAGGAAATGGACAGATTTCTAGAAACTTACAACCAACCAAAATTGAACCAAGAAGATATTAATCACCTGAAAGGAAATAAAACACAAAAAGAAATTGAAGCTGCCATCAAGAGCCTCCCAAAAAAGAAAAGTCCAGGACCTGATGGATTTACTGCTGAATTCTATCAGACATTTAAAGAAAAATTAATACCAACTCTCCTTAAACTATTCCAAGAAACAGAAAGGGAAAGAACACTACCTAATCATTTTATGAAGCCAATATTACTCTCATCCCAAAAACAGACAGCCACCTTCAAAAAGGAGTACTATAAGCCAATTTCCTCAATGAATATCAATGCAAAAATCCTTAATAAAATAATGGCAAACCGAATCCAACAACACATCAGAAAAGTCATACACCATGACCAAGTCGGCTTCATCCAAGGGTTGCAGGGGTGGTTCAGCATATGCAAATCTATAAATGCAATACAGAACATCAATAGAAGGAAAGACAAAAACCACTTGATCATCTCAACAGATGTAAATAATCCAATACCTAGAAGTAAATTTAACAAATGATGTGAATGAACTCTACAAGGAGAATTAAAACTCCTGAAGAAAGAGATCAAGGAAGACTACAGAAGATGGAAAGAGCTCCGGTGCTCATGGATCAGTAGAATCAATGTAGTAAAAATGGATATACTACTGAAAGCAATGTACATGTTTAATGCAATTCCCATCAAAATCCGAATGACTTTCATCATAGAGATTGAAAAATCTACTCTAAAGTTTTTGGAAACCCAAGATATCGCAAATAGACAAGGCAATGCTCAGCAAAAAAAGCAATGCTGGAGGTATTACAATACCCAACTTCAAACTATATTACAAAACAATAGCAATAAAAACATCATGGTACTGGCATAAAAACAGACATGAAGACCAGTGGAACAGAATGGAGGATGTGGATGTGAATCCAGAAAACTATACCCACCTCATTTTTGACAAAAGTGCCAAAACATACAATGTAGAAAAGACAGCTTCTTCAACAAATGTTACTGGGAAAAGTGGTTACCCATCTGCAAGAAACTGAAACTAGATCCATATCTATCACCCTGTACTACTATCAACTCAAAATGGATCATGGACCTAAATATCATACCTGAACCTGTGAAGTTACTAAAGGAAGGAGCAGGAAACACTCTGTAACTAATAGGTATTGGCAAGGACGTCCTCAATAGAACCCCAGCAGCCCAGCAACTAAGAGAAAGGATGGACAAATGGGACTTCATAAAATTAAAAAGGTTCTGCACAACACAAGAAATGGTCTCCAAACTGAAAGACCACCCACAAAGTGGGAGAAAATATTCACCAGCTGTACATCAGCCAAGGGACTAATAACCGGAATATACAGGGATCATAAGAAACTAAGCTCTCCTAAAGTCAATGAACCAATTAAAAAATGGGAAACTGAACTTAACAGAACTTTCTCAAAAGAAGAAATTCAAATGGCAAAAAAGCACGTGAAAAAATGCACACCATCTCTAGCCATAAAGGAAATGCAAATCAAAACCACACTAAAATTCCACCTTACCCCTGTTAGAAGAGCTGTCATCAAAAACTCCACTGACACCAGATGTTGGTGAGGATGTGGGGAAAAAGGAACCCTCATACACTGCTGGTGGGAATGCAAGCTGGTACAACCACTCTGGAAAAAATTTTGAGACTTCTTAAAAATGTAAACATAGACCTGCCATATAATCCAGTAATCCCACTCCTGGGGATATACCCAAAGGAATGCAACACAGGTTACTCCAGAGGCACCTGCACACCCATGTTTATTGCAGCACTATTCACAATAGCCAAGTTATGGAAACAACCAAGATTCCCCACTACTGATGAATGGATCAAGAAAATATGGTACTTGTATACAATGGAATTTTACTCAGCCATGAAGAAGAATGAAATCTTATCATTTGCAGGTAAATGGGTGGAACTCGAACAAGGTCAGCCAGGCTCAGAAGTCCAAAAATAATATGTTCTCCCTCATATGAAGACTTTAGATCTAGGGCAAATTCAGCAATGTGGTTGGACTGGGGTCACATGACAAGGGGAGAGCACATATGGGTGATACATAAATAGGTAAAAAACCCAAAACATGAAAGTGTTTGGTGTCCCTACTCCAGAAGAGCTAATACAGAAACCTTTAATCTACAGAGGTTATCATGAGATGGGGATCAGTAATCAGGGTAAAGATCTGTTAGAGATGAATCAACATGTGTCATAACATGTTTACACGAAAACAATGCTAGAAATATTTCTGGATAGCTATCCTTAACTGAACTAGCAAAAAATACTTTGTCTTCCTTGTTATGCTTCTCTCTTTTTTTCAACAAAATTAATGATAAAGGCAGAACAGGACCTACTTGGAACTGAGGGAAAAAGGGGGAGTGGGGTTGGGGGAGGGGGGAGAATTGACCCAATGTATGCACATATGAATAAATGAATTATTAAAAAAAGAAAGAAATTAACGTGACAGAATGCAGGAACTATCCTGGCAAAGTGCCCTATTTCTGAGATAAGGTGATTTAATCCAATCATATCTTCACTTTTCAGCCCAACATTCGGATGTTAATTGCATAAATGTTTGGTGGGTATTGTTTATTGAAATAATAATTACATATTTTTTATACATGGGATTGTGTAGGGCACATACTTAAAACATGATAGTCCTCAATATCATTTTTCAGAACTGTGAAATTATCATTTTATTTTTTCTCATCATGATGAATATAGTCCCTTTGGAATACTTGTGAAATGAATGTATCTGCAGTTTTAGGGAACTAGCTAAAGGACGAAGATTTACTGGGGGAGGGAACTGCAATTTGAATGGGAGTTTGGAAACTTCTTGAAAATAATTATGTAAACTTCCAGGCCTCATTGCTGAAACTACATATTGGTGTCTTCCTATGTACCTAAATAACTTTCATGTTTGTACTCATGATGATAAAACAGTAACTTCAATAAATTTTCCTTCATCCATCCTCTCACACAGCACTTAGTGGGTGAAAATCATTTCTGGCCTCGTCATGACCAAGAACTATGGATTTAAAGCTCTTCCATTGCCTGAGGTTCAATGATAGGTCATAGCCCATCTCCAGCACTGATATGAACCCTGTCATAAAGGAGCTTCCACATGCAGACACAAAGCTCCTTGAGACAGGATATGTTGCCAACAGAACTGGAAACAATTAAAACAAAGTCTTTAGGAACAGGCCATTAATTGACTACTATATTACTCCTGGAGTCTCAAGACACAGAGACAAAGCTGCAAAAATAGTTCTCTGTGATCCCAGTCTCTAAGTATATATGACTATGAATGGAAGAACAGACAGTAAATGTGTATAGAAAATTTAGAGCTCTTTGTTACTCTGGAGAAATTCTGATGTATAATTCATCTAGATCATTTATTCTACTTGTGAAGATCATTATCTTCTATTTCCATTGTACATTGTGTTAAAATTAACAAAATATTTAAGTTCAGATTTATGTGCACATTTGATTGGCATTAAATCACGTTGACATTTTTCTGCAAACTACACTAATGTCTATCTCCAGAAATTGTTCATCATATCAAACTGAAGCACAGCAGCCTGTTGTGTAAATCTGAATCCTCCAACTCTTAAATATCACAGTCACCATTAACTAGGATGGTAAATAAATGAATCCCCAAATCTATGAAATGAAGAAGGAAGGATTCACTCATTTAGTTCTTCAGTTTTCCTAACATTTCCAAATTACAGTTCAAATGGATGCCACAGATTGTCCAACGATGCAGTCTCTTCAGGGTCCTACTAATGTCTCTGTTCCTCAGGCTGTAGATGAAGGGATTCAGCATAGGGGTGACAACAGTGTACATTAATGAGGCTGCCACAACTTTACCCGCACAAAGTGATGCAGCTGAACCAAAGTACACACCAATGGCTGTTCCATAAAATAGGAAAACCACTGACAGGTGAGAACCACAGGTGGAGAATGCTTTATACCTCCCACTTGATGATGGGATTCTCAGAATGGAAGAAACAATTTTGTAGTAAGAAAAAATGATTCCTGAGATGGGGACAAAACCATATATACCACCAAGAAAATACATTACCACACTATTTCTAAAGGTGTCAGAACAGGACAGATTAAGTACTTGAGAAGGGTCACAGAAGTAATTAGAAATTTCTACACCTTTAAAGCAAGTAAATTGCAAGGCAATCAATCTGTGAAACAGGGAGTCCAAAAAACTGAACAAAAAAGACACCAAAACTAAGACACAACAGGAGCAAGGATTCATAATAACTGGATAGTTCAGGGGGTGACAGATGGCCACATATCGGTCATAGGCCATCACAGTTAGCAACAGATCATCCATACACAGAAAAAATATATAAAGAGACATCTGGGTCAGGCAGCACATATAAGAGATAACTCTATTTCTTGTTTGCATGTCTGCAATCAACTTTGGGACAGTAGTGGAGACAAAACAGATGTCATCCAAGGACAGGATGGAGAGGAAGAAATACATGGGGGTGTGGAGGTGAGAGTCAGAGCTGACAGCCAGGATGATGAGCAGGTTCCCAAACACTGTCAACAGATACATGAACAGGAACAGTCCAAAGAGAAAGGGTTGCAATTCTGGATCATTGGAGAGTCCCACAAGTTGGAACTGTGAAACACGTGTAAGATTTTGTGCTTCTAAATTGTTTGGACAACTGTTGATAAAGTAAACAGAAAATGAAACAAATATTCAAACAAGACTGTGCATATTTTTAATTTAAATAAGTTGTAGCTAAATTCATACTTAAGTTATAGAATACTTGGAAATATTTCTTAATTGTGGCAGCCCCAATACTGGAATGCTTTGATTTTGGTTGTGTTGCTATCCAACTCATTCCATAAATATCAACTTTAGGGACTGACAGAAAGGGAGGAATTTAAGAGATAACAAGTCCATAAGCATATAAACTACAAATTTGTATTTAAAATACAGAATAAGTAATATCAAACCCATTTGAAATAAAATATCATTTTATTTGACAGAAATAAAGCCGTAGTCAAAGGTATTTCCTTTTCAATTAAGAAAATCATACAAAATTACTTGACTTAGAATTTTCATAAGCACTAAATGACGTACTACTTTATTACATGAATGCTAAAGTTGATCAATTTTAATCAGAAAACATGGTGTTGTGCTAATTATATCCAAAGAGTTTTCATCATCCTTAGCTATTCTGATTTCCACCTTTCAACATGTTTATTTTTCCCTCAAACTTGATTGGATGTAAATTATTGAAAATATAAATTATATAAGTGGGTTTGTTGTATTTCAAATTTTTTATAAAATGTGTCTGTTATATGTTAATAATCACACATCACTGATAAAAATGTAGTATGACAGCACTTGTAACATTTAAAATAAATGTCAGGAAGCACTTTTGAATTTATTTATTTTATGCAAGTTTGTTTGTATCAATGCTATGCATTTTACTAAAACATCATGAATGTAAGAAGCCTCTTTATTGTTTCTCTTCATTATTTACTGTACAGTACCAAAAAACTGTTTCATTGCTTCCTGATCTCCAAAACCTTCTATTTCAATTTGAAGACTAGCATGAAGGAAATTTTAAAGGATAGGTATGAGTCCCAACCTTCTTATTTCCAATTGTCAGTTCATCACAGCAACCTTTACAGATACATAAATTTCAATTCTGTAACCCAAGATACATAAAGAAAACACAGGTTCTGATTTTCTCAGTCCACACTGTCATTTAATTGGAAAAAATTCAAATCAGAAAATTATATGAAACTTTATGTTTATGAACTTTTTTGCAAAGTTACCTATAAAGCATATGTTTCCCCACAAATTGAAAAATGTAGATTATACTTGACTACTCTAGGAGGTTATGTAAGAGCAGGATTAAATTGAGTAACTCGTGATTCTCAGGCTCCTTAATTAATATATACACATTATGAATATTCTAATATACCCAAATACACTGTCATCAGAACAGAACAGATCCAATTTTCCCAGAATGTTCATCTTTGAAATTTTATGCTATGTTTTACACCAGACCAGAGAACCAATGTCTTATATTATTTCATAGAGCTTAGAAATATTAACTATTATTGCAATCAATATTACCCAATATATGTATATATATTAAGATTTAGTGATATTTGTATTAGACATATTAATAGAGATCTTAACACTTCACATGAAATATGATTTCTTTGTGTCTGGGCATGATGCCATTCTTCTACATATATGGCCCTAAAGAGAAATATTTTAATGTTTTCAGGATGAATTTCTTTTTAATATGTCCATTCAATATTTATTTAAATACCAGAAAGACATTTCCTAGTTACCTAAAAAGTACTTAATGTTTCCTACGTAATATCCAACAAAATATTTGTTGCTCGTGAAATGTGCTAATTTACATCAGCACGGGGTCAATGTACCCATGTAAAATACATATATCTACTACAATGGCTGCAGCTGACACATTGCATTACCTAAAAAAAGAAGTGTATCTTCTAAATTGTATGTTTTTTAATAAGACAATGCTTTGAAAATTCTTGTGCCTGACCGAATTTTCATACAGTGACAATACTACATTGGTTGCTGGATACTTCTCTGATTTCCAAAAAGTCTTATTTATCCAGTTTGAGTGTAAATCACATTTTTCTAAATAAAATGTATACCTCGTCACATATTCCCTCTTATTCTTGTGGCATATCATAAAAATATCCAGTAATAACTCCTTTACCATGAAACAGTAGGAAATTTTTTTCTGTGTCAAATAATCCAATTTGGCTCCTTTAGAGGAGATAGTGCCTTGGGAGTGGGAGTCAATCAATGAAGAATTTCATATTCCATCTTTGACCTGATAACATATTCAGGATGTGTGAAAATCTCTCCACTTCTCTGTGCACATGCTACCCATCTACCCAACAAATATTGCACATAAGAATTTGAATTTAATTGATATTTATCATTTGTGCTTATATAATGAAGAATTACATCCTTGTTGAAACAGTGAATTTATTGGTGATCAGTTGTATAGCAGCATTGCAGGTGGATGATATTTGACTCTATAGTGTGCCTCACTCCATGTGATAAGGTTTATGTATTCCCTTGTTTCTGTGTCACTTTTTGCCTATCAAAATCACTGATATGTTTTTGAATCATTGACGCATGAAATTTTGAATACTGTAACATAGAGTCCAAGTATCATGACATATACACAAAAAAAATCTATTATACCTTGACTCTAATTCTACTTGGTATGCCTGGGATGGTGAAAGTGCAGACAGGAATGCATTAAGTGTTTTAAACACACCATGAATTTAACCAGTTCCTGTGAATCAAGCAAGCATCTTTTAAATAATTAGGAAATACTTTTTGTGCCTTCTTTGTACCAAATGTCTATCACTGTGGAGAATCAAAAACAAAAGCGGAGACACGCCTCACAAAATTGCCAGTATGAACTTACATTAGGACAAACAATGAAACATTCTTTTACAAAAAATAGGAAAACATAATTTCAGAGAGTAAGATATCCTTCTTTTAATGCTATGAATTGACCTAATCATAATGACTAATGAGAATATTTCAGTGTTTAATCACCTATTTCAAGTATTTATTACATCTTCATACCAAGTAATTGCTCATTATATGAAATACTTAATGCAGAAGCACAAACTAGAAAATAGTGGAATTGGAGAAGATGAAATTCAGATATACTAACAAACTAACCTACATGAAAGAAATTAAAAGTGGAAACAGAAAATTCACAATTAAATTGTCAGACTCTACATCCAAAACACAATTTTAAAAAATATTTCCCTGGCCACATAAAGGTTTAAGCAGGGTACAGAGGCCTTAACCACAGGTACAACTGAAGTATATTTTTTATTCTTTACAGTTTCCTAAATATGATTAGAATCAAGTTCTGACATTTATTTTCCTTTGAAGTGTGAGTGGACTGATTGAAACATGGAAAAGACTGAGAAGTCTACAAGAACATCCTTGGCTGGCAGGAGGAGCAAGTTGAGATGAATAATGTGACTACACTTTCTGTGATGTTTTTCTATGATCTTTGGCTGCCCTCTTGTATGGAATTTGAATCCTGTACATTACTTATCTGCACTCTTCCAGTAATCTCAAATAGAAGAAGACAGGATTAAAAGGGCATGGTCAGGAAGTGACTCAGAAGTGACATGCAGATTTGGATTGTGCAAGCAGGCAGTGCCTGGGATAATGTCCTGTGTACTTAAGGTACTACAAAGGTGGTTAAATTTGTTTGTACCTAAACACCTAAAACAGGACACATTCAAAATAATTTTCTGCTTGATTTTTGGAAGCTGATAGCAATGTGGGCACTTTTAACTGGATAACGATAAAGGTATTAAAGGATAAAAATAACTAGCAAAAAGAGCTCAGAGCCAGACACGCAGGTTTGTAATGCTGTGGTTAGTGCCATCATCATCTCACCTTCATAATCCATTGGCACACCTGAGTAAAAGTTAAGAAGGATCCATTTGAACCATTCTGGGTAACACATGTATGTGAAATGAAAATTATGATTAGCTTTTATGATACTACAACAAAGCTAAGAACATAAACTTCATGGTCTTCCCAAGGGCAAGGTTTTATATCAGTGTCCTTCCAGCAGCTACATAAACTGTTGGCTGGTCCTCATTATTAGGAGGACACAGCATGAGCGAGTCCTGCACCCATCCCTCTGCACTTACTGATTTAAGCTGCTTCTCTCTTTAGTCATGACCAAGGTGTGCAGGTCCAAAGATCCTACCATGCTTGGAGCCCAACGAAGCTTCTGCCCCAGTCCTTGGGACTGTGGTGCAAACAGTGACAGATAGCAACTTGATAAAACAGGAACTTGTGAATGAAGAGACAAGGATGGAGTCAACTACACTTAAGACATAAAACTGAAGGTCTGTAAGGACAGGCCGATTGCTGACTGTTATATGACCTTTGAGGACCAATGAACAGTGTTCATCATTAGCCAGATTGTGGGTATTATTGAACTTAATCTCTAAGGAATTTCAAACAATAATGTAAAAAGAGGAGGACAAAGGGAATATCAATGACAAGTTGTAAACTACTAATTTACTTTGGCAAATATTTGTGGACATTTCACTCCTTTAATTTCTGTTGATTATTTCCACTTTCTTTGCAGTAAAATATGTACTTCAAAATGTTACTATTTAAAACACAATAAGCAAAAGGATGAGTTGCATTTTTTAAATTCACATTATTTTGAAATTGTCAACCTCATATATATCCAGAAACATTATTTTCCCAAATAGAAAACTAATACTAATTCAAAATGTTCCCCATTTTGCCAACAATCCAACCCTGGCAACCATAATTTCACTACAGTGTGAAAAACAAATGTGGTACCAGTGATGTACTGCATTATTTTATTGCTGAAATTGTAAAAACAGGCACGATTTTGAAAAGGGTGCATCATACACAAGAAATTAGGAATATATTATCCTTCAAACAAATTGGCAGTCAATCTAATTGTGCGTCTGAGAATCTTAAAAAAATTTATGTATATACCATAAAATTTATGTATATACCATAAAATATACAGTGAATCTAAGAAGCCATAAAATGGAAGGTCAGTGATAATGCAGTAATAGAGTGGAGAAGAGCTGGCTACAAATTAGGAATATAAAGTACAGTTAAAATTGTTCCACAGACACATGCAAAGCTGATTTTAAAGTCATCTATGTCAGGGAGCACCCATAGAAAATGATTCTATATGATGTTTGATTTCCACATTCATCTTTGAGACCTTATAGATGAAATGGCCCAGCCTAGGACAGCTTAGAGAGGAAGAAACATATGGGAGTATAAAGGAGAGAGAGCAATTTGAGAGCCAGGAAGATGAGTAGGTTCCCAAACACAGTGACTAAGTGCACAAACAGAAACAGTGAGATGAAGGACTGCTCTTCTGAATCCTATGTTAAGCCAATTAGATGTATCTGAGAGACACAGTACAGTTTTTGTGTCTCAAAATTTTTGATCCACTTTTAAATATGAGAGGTACTTTGAAAAAAGGAACTAGATTTATAGGAACACAGAATTCTGTGTATATTTCAAATTCAAATATGCACGAGTAATATTTTCACAGGTCTGCACTTTAGCATTATAGAGCCTTGTGAAAAACTAATATTTACACAACTCTTCCATAAATGAATGTTAAGATTTTGACCCCCTTCTTTTCACATCAACTCGACTGAATAATGTTAAAAGACCAAGAATATTAGAACTAGTAGCAATGTTTGTTTGGCAAAAAATACAGTCTTCTCTTTTCTGACAAAAGACAGAAGAAGAACACTTTCCCCATACAAGAAAAGAATCATATTTTATAAAGCTATGAAGAATCAGTAAAATAAAACCTATTTTATATTTTATATTTTTTATTGTGTGCTGGCTAAGGATACATTATAGCATTTACAAATCCTCTTACAATGTATCAAATATGTCATACATGTATTTTCCCCCTCCATCATTCTTTATCCCTTCCTACCCCCCATTCCAGGAACAGTTTCAGCAGGTATCATTTTTCCATTTACATACATGTAAACACAGGATTTGCATTATATTCACCCACTCATACCCTTTCCCCACCTCCTACCCCTCCCTCTGGTAAGAACCTCTCCAGGCAGGACCTGTTGACCCTCCTGTTCTCTAATTTTGCAAATGAAAAAACATCATTTTTGTTTAGGATTGCTACACTGAAAGTTTCCTTATGACATTTCTATGTATATATGTATCATGACCTAATTAAGTTCATCTGCCCTATTTTTCTTCTTTTTGCCTTATTTCCCTTTTTTATGGTGGTTTAACCAGGCTTAAAGATTCTATATTCGTTCTTTTATAGGAAGTACATCAACCATATTCACTTTCTTAACTTACCTCTTTTACCATCCTCTTCCCATATGTGACCTCCTGTTACTGTGACTTGTTTGTCATAATATTGCCGTATTTGTATTAGGTCTATATTCCATATGTGAGGAAAAAATTGACTATTGACCTTGTGTTCCTGGCTAATTTCAATTAGAATGATCTCCAGTTCCACTTGTTTATCTGCAATTAACAAAATTTAATTCTTCTTTGTGTAAATAAAATTCCATAGTATATAAATACCACATTTTCATAATCCATTCATCAGCAGGGAGAATATTGAATGTTGTCTGTTTCCACAGTTTAGATATTATGAATAATGCTTCAATAAACAGGGCTGTGCAGGTGCCTTTACTGTAACCTCATTTACATTCCTCCATGTGTATACCTAAGAGTTGAATTGCAGGATCATATGGGAATTCTGTTTTTAGTTTTGTGAGAAACCTCCCTATTGTTTTACATAGTGGTTGTACTAATTTACATTCCCACAAATAGTGTATGTAGATTCCATTCTCCCCACATCCTTGCCAACATTTGGTTTTGTTTGTATTCTTGATGGTAGCCATTCTAAGAAGAGTGAAGTAGAATCTTAATGTGGTTTCTGTTATGATCAGAGCTATTAAGTATTTCCTCATGTGATTTTTTTAGCCATTTGGACTTCTTCCTTTGAAAAAGGTCTTTTCAGTTCACTTGCCCATTTCTTCTTTGGGTACATTGAGTTCTGGGGAGTTTAGTTTTTGGAGTTTGGTTTTATATTCTGGTCATTAATCTATTGTCAGATGTATAGTTGGGAAAGAATTTCTAGCATCCTGAAAATCCATTTTAATTTCTTACAATGATACAAACTATCTTGATTTTGAACACCCCCTAAACTCTTCCTAGGAGCTACCGCTGCATTTTGAACCATTCAATTGAGATTTCATAATTATAAACTACTGTTGGTTCCAATTACATTTCAAGCATTCATTTTGGGGGAATTTTCCTAGTATCCTCTTTTGAAGATATATGAGCTCACTCAAATTTTGAATGGTTGTCTTTTAACAACCATTTAAAATGTATCTTCAACCCTTCACTTTGACTAAAAGGTTTCATACGTATGGGTTAGATACCAGGGTGTAATCATGAGACATCAGTGGCATTGATGTGCCTTCACTGCACCAGTCAATAATAAAACTAGTGAAATTCTAACAGTTTTTAATTTTGTATTTTATACCTGTTTTTTATGAGATCTGTACATGATGAACAGGTTTATTTATGACCTCTTTAGAAGGGAACTCGGTTTCTTCATGCTTTCTGTAGCATTTTCCATATAATGCTTCATTGTGTTTCTTTTCTAATCCCCTTTATACATGGTGGAGGACATTGGTAACACAGATAAGTCCAAAACACACATATTATTCTCAAAGTTCCCCAAATAACAAATTATTTCCTTCCATATTTCCATATAGATGTATCACATTTTCAATTACTTCAAAAAATGAAGGCAGCACAATTTCATAACTCTGTTGACTTAACAGGGTGATTTAGCTGGGAAATTGCAAAGCACACCTAGATAATTTCCTCATCTATAAAATAAGCATAATAATTACTTATATTATGCACTTATTGTAAGAAAGATTTTTTAGAAAACTGTCACAGATTAGAATTTATTAGTCTCAAAACCAATATATCTGTACATAATACATACATAACACATATATAATGCAAAGATATATTGGTTTTGAAATATATACATAAACTCATCTCAGAACAAATCTAATTTAATCATAGTCGCTCCACGTGAAGATTTGGTTGTCCTATCTTATATCAGGGTTGTGAACAACTACATTGGAATATTACCTGGAATTTAAAACGTGCTACCCAAAATGCAAATTTTGTAACTACTAAGAATACATATCACCTATATTGAAATTTTAAGATTCTACAACATTTTTCTGACATAATATGTTACAGTGTTTGAATTTATCATTCATGAAATTTGTGTCCATATTATCTCTGCACATTTCCATTATCCAGCACACTTCTTCCACAAAGAAAACTATGGTCAGGAATTTGTATTCCCTCTCAATATTTCCATTACAGTAGTACTATATGAATCCATAAATTGAAAAGAAATTGCCTAATGCTTACCTAAATCTTACATAAGTAACAAAATTACCTGTTACTGACAGAATGTGATAATTTACATCAAGGTATACTTTCAAGTTTCTCTTTTGTGACAATTGGAAGTGATGACAGATGACAATGCTGAATATGAAAAAGCCATATAGCCTGATCTTTTGCACAGAAATAATGATTTGATATCAGCCAGGCTTAATGGAGAATAACTGTAATCCCAGATATTTGGGAGGCAGTGAGAATCAGAGATCAAAGTCAGCACAACCCAAATAACAAGTTCCTAGTTCTCAAAACAAGATAGGCTTTGTGGTGTACAGCTTTAAATCTAGGTGGTCCAGGTAAGAAGACTGCAATCTGAAGCCGGTCTAGGAAAAAGTCCAAGACCTTTTCTGAATAAAACAAACTAAAGAAAAATGGGTTGGAGTCATGGCTCAAGTGGTAGGCTAATTTTCTAGCAAGTGTGAGAATCTCAGTTAAAGACTCCAATGCTGCCAAAAAATGAAAGAGTTTACCCAAGAAGAATCCAAACTATCTGTCAATTTGTGGGTAAATTTAACTAGTATTTTTATTGGTTACCAAATAGAAGAACATTTTAAACATAAGCTCTATATCCTAACCAGTTGTCTGCTTTAGAAACATTTAAATTCCTGCCCTGTTTCCTGAGCAGGAATGGGTCCTTTGAGATTGAGTGGCTGATTACAAAAATACACAAGGATGTGGAGAGCTGCAAGGAGAGCCTGCAAGCATGAGAAATATCAGTGCTTAATAATCATGTGCCTTCCCATTGAGTGATCTGATCATAGGCAGTCAGCTATTCTCTCATTTTTGCAGCAACAGACACGCAATGATACTTACTGTGGTATACCAGACATCCCCAAATGCAAGCCACAGTGAAGTGAGGAATCTATCTCATGTTGAGGTGATTGGAAGTGAAATGACTAGTTAAGTTTTCAAGAAGACAATATAGACTTGTCCAGGTCAGATGACCTGTATCTGTTTTAAGACAGTTCAATTCATACATAACTTCAGAGCTTTTTTGCTATTGTCGCCAAAAGTCTACCTTTTGGTTCGTGTCCTTTTTTTACATCTGGAATCTGCATATGAGAGAAAATATATAGTTATTGTCATTCTGACAAAACTGGCTTATTTTGCTTAGCATGGTGAACTCTAGGAATTGACACAATTCTATTCTTTATAATTGATATCATTTGATTGTGTGTTAATACCACATTTCCTTTACCCACTGATCGATTGATGGGCACCTACATTGACTTAGAACCTCGTCCACTGTGAACAGTGTTTCATAATAATTATTGTGTGGCTATCTCTATTGTGTGCTCCTCAGGATCTTTTTTGAAATTGCAGTTCTTAAGCTCTAGATTAAGGATTATATAAGTGAAGCTAGAACAGCATTCCTGGGAGATTGTGATAGAACCAAAATGAAGCAAACTCCAATGCTTCTCACATAAATTAACAGCACAATTGACATAAAACCCATAAATGTAGCAGGCTTACTACTTCTCTCCAGATGATTGGATTCCCAGAAGGGAGGAAATACTTTTATAGTATAAAAAGATCCAGGAGATGGGGAAACACCATATGTGGCTTAGACAAAATCAGTGAAAATATTATCTGAAAAGGTATAAGAACAGGAATAATTCAGCAATTCAGATGCATTGCAGAAGAAACGGAAAATGTTCATATTCTTGAAATAAAAAAATTGGAAGTCAAGCAAATTATAATGTACAAAGTCTAAACCCTACCAAAAAGCACAGCAGCACAAAGAAACCATAAAGAAGCAACACTACCCTTGTCTTTTTATATGGAATACGTGAAACAAGACAATGTTGCAGGTGTTATTAAGTACTTTCAAGGCCCATGAGAGCATGACATAAACACAAACAAGGAACATTTAAAGTTGTCACTCATTCCTTGAATAATTGGAAGGGATGAAAATGATTACAGTTAAGCCCAAAGTGTATGGAAGCAGCATTTAACATGGCCATTTATTTTGAATCAATAAAAGCATGCTCTGTTTTTGTGGTAACATTTCACATTTATAGTAGTGTCTCTTGTGTAGAAAATATTCATACAATTTCTGAAGAATCAGAAATCAGAGTTAGTCAAGCATCATCAATAAATGCATAAATTTCACAATTAAAAAATATCCACCCACATTACTGAAATAGGAACATGCAGACTTCAGATTGCAGAATATTTTATTTGAAATTAATGAAGTATAACCTTATCTTTAATGGCACTATGCTAATAATTGCATATAAATTACAGATTGTGCTTATAGTATGCATCCATCAACTAAGAATATCATACAAAGAAACTATTACCTCTAACACAACGCCACTACCATTGCATGAAGCAGAACTCACCTCATATGGTAATGCTGAGTATCAGAGATACTAATGACCTCCATATGTCACAGAAATGACATGATAATGATGGAGGTAAAACTTAATTTGTTAGTTTCTGGGTCTGTTTCACTATTTCGTTGTATACTAACCATATGGAATGCCAGCACAGGTCCAGAATTCTAACCCACATTGTTGCTTTATAAACATTACCTTTTTCCTCTTTCTTGAGCAAGAAGGAAGTTAAATCCTGAATTCAAATATAATTTTAATTTTGGTAAAAGAGGTTGTTACATGGGACGAGGAATGGACAGCTCCAAATATATCCTGGAGTATGGCAAGAAAGAGACCCATACCAACTATTCTTTCCGTAAACTTTGTTTCTGATTGCTAAGACATCATTCCTTTATTTGAGGTAGGAGATTCCATCCAACTCTGTGATCTACTTGCTATCCTTACTTGGAAGAAGAAAATGAAATCTAGTCACTTCTGGGAGAGACAGGGAAGCATGCATGGTGCTTGGGTTGTCAATGTCAGAAAATGCAAGAATTATCCTAGAAAGGTGCACTATATATGATATAAGGCAGTGCAATTCAATCATATCTTCACTTTTTTGGCCCAATGATAAGGTGTTGATTATATGAATGTTTGGTTCCTCTTTCTTTGAAAATTAATAGTTACATACACTTTTTCATGTGGGAAAGATTGTGCAGAACATAAATAAATTTTGAGATTCCTCAATATCTTTTCTTGGGACTGTAAGATTGTAACCTTTACCATCTTCATCATGATGAGCATAATCCCTTTGGAGTGTTTATGAAACAATTTACAGTCAATCATTTCTGCTATTGTAGGGAGATAGCTATGAGAGGAAGAAGCAGTTGGAAGGAAGCTAAAATTTGAATAGGTGTTTGGTGACTTCCATGAAAAGCAATAACATAATCTTCCTGGTCTTATATCTCAAACTACAAATTGGTAACTTCTCATGTCTCAACCAACTTTCGTGCTGGTAATCATGATGATAAAGCAATGATTACATTAGACTTTCCTCCATCCATCTTATTAAACTGTACTTAATATGTTAAACTGTTCTTGACATGTAATGACCATGAATTACGGACTCAAATCCCTTCTCCTGTTGGAGGTGTAATGAGACCTCAAACCCCATTCCCAGGACTGATATGAACAGAGTCAGATAGGAGCTTTCTTCTGTATACATGAAAGGGGGTTGAGACAGGGTGTGTGGTCAACAGAACTGAAGCTATTAAGACGAATGTCTGTAGGAACAGTGCAAATACTTACTATATAGATCTGATATCTCAAGTCACAGAGCAAATACCTATATAATAGGTCTTTGTGATTCCAGTCTCTAAGAGTATATGAATATTAACTGAAGAACAGACTATTAATGAGCTTTTCAACTACTCTGGAGAAGCCTATAACACACAATTCATCAAGCACATGTCTTCCACTTCTTAAGATCATTATCTTCTATTTACTTTGTTAATTGTGATAAAATGATCAATACATTTAAGTGCACATTTTGTCATTTAGCCATATATGTGCACATTGACTGGCAGTCAATTTCATTAACATTTTTCTGCAACCTACACTATCATCTTTCCTCAAAAAATTTATATCTTCCCAATTGAAATTTAGCAACTAATTGAATAAATTTCAATCCACCAACTCTAACATCTCAATCACCATCCACTAGGAAACAAGATAAAAAATAAATGCATCTATAGAACTCTGAAATTTAGTGGGAAGAATTCACACATCTAGTTCTTCAGTTTTGCTAACATGTCCAAACTACAGTCCAAAAGGCTACCACAGATTGTCTGACTGTACATCTTCTTCAAGGTCCTACTAATGTCCCTGTTCCTCATGCTGTAGATGAAGGGATTTAGCATAGGGGTAACAAGAGTGTACATTAATGAGGCCAGCACAACTTGACTTGGGCAATGTGATACAGTTGATCCAAAATATACACCAATGCATGTCCCAAAAAATAAGCAAACCACTGACAGGTGAGACCCACAGGTAGAGAATGCTTTGTACCTTCCACTTGATGTTGGGATTCGCAGAATGGAAGAAACAATTTTGTAGTAAGAGAAAAGTATTCCTAAAACAGGGATAACACCCAATGTAGCTCCAATACAATACATTATCACAGTATTTCTAAAGGTTTCAGAACAGGACAGATAAAGTAGTTGAGAAGGGTCACAGAAGTAATTAGAAATTTCTACACTCTTAAAGCAGGTAAATTGCAAGGCAATCAAACTGTGCAACTGGGAGTCCAAAAAGCTAAACAAACAAGACACCAAAACTAAGACACAGCAGGAGAAGGGGTTCATAATGACTGAATAATGCAGTGGGTGACAGATGGCCACATAACGGTCATAGGCCATCACAGTCAGAAGCATATCATCCATACATAGAAAAAATATATAGAGAGACATCTGAGTCAGGCAACCCACATAAGAGATAACTCTATTATTTGCTTGAATGTCTGCAATCAAATTTGGGACAGTAGTGGAGATGAAACAGATGTCATCCAAGGACAGGATGGAGAGGAAGAAATACATGGGTGTGTGGAGGTGAGAGTCAGAGCTGACAGCCAAGATGATGAGCAGGTTCCCAAACACTGTCAACAGATACATGAGCAGGAACAGTCCAAAGAGAATGTATTGCAATTCTGGATCATCAGAGAGGGCCACAAGTTGGAATTCTGAGACAAGTGTAAGATTTTGTGATTCAGCATTCTTTGGACAACTGTTGACAAAGGAATTTTGTTATGAAAATAAAAAGAACATTCACCCAAGACTGTGCTTTCAATGCTTCTAAATTTTTGGACAACTCCTGATTAAATAAATTTGTCATAAAAATGAAACATTCAACCAATTCTGTGCATGTTTTGAATTTATGTAAAGACTAGTTAGAATTCATTCATGAGATATAAAATATTCAGATATATTTCTCATTTGTGACAATCTAAATAGTGTAATATTTGACCTTATTTCTTTGCTATCAATCTCATACCCTACATATCTACTTCAGTGACACACAACTCTTGTAGACAGTAACTTAAAAATAGGAAGATCATAATTATATTAAAATACAGTGTAGTATTTCAAAATAGACAATAAGTAATATCAAACCCATTGGAAGTAAAATATCTTTGGAATTGAAGGATATTAAGCATCAGTCAAACATATCTCATTTTCTTTTAAGCAAATTGTACAAAATTTGTTGACTTGTACTATTTATAACTCTACACACTGTAATGCTTTATTATATGAGTGCTAATGCTGACAGTTCATAATCAAATTACATGCTATTAAGAGAAATAAATCCCAAGAGTTTTCATCATCCTTGGCTATTCTAATTGCTATCCTCCCTCAAACTTGATGGGAATTAAAATACTGAAAATATAACTAATATCAGTAGCTAATATAGAACTTCAAATTTTTATAAAGGTGGCTCAGTTAAATGACAATAATCACATGTCACACTGATTAAAAACATGGCATAGGCATATCTGTAAGAGGAAGTGATTTAAAAGTAAGTGGTAGGAAGCATTTTGAAATTATTTATTTTATACATGTTTATTTGTATCAGTTCTATACATATTACTAAAATATAAGGAATATAAGACAGATCCTTATTCTTTTTCTTCATTATGCACTCTATAGTGTCAAAATAGAATGCTTCATTGTTTCATGATAATACACCTATTTCCATTTGAAGACTAGGACAACAGAAAGTACCAAAACCCATGTTTGATTCCCAACCTCCTTATTGCTAATTATTCTTCCAGATACATAAATTTCTAATTTTAACTTAAGCTGATAAAAAACCTGCACTCAGATATTGTGAGGCCACAGTTACATTTAATTGAAGAAAGTTCAAATCAGAAAATTAAATGAAATATTGCAAACATACCAGTAAAGAATATGTTTCCCCATAAATGGGAAAATGGTGATTAAAATTAGCTCATATTGATGATTAAATTCTTTAAAATATTTCAAATTTTGTAACTAATGATTCCCAGGTTCTGTTATGAATAAATTTACATATGAATACTTTAATGTATTTAAATACTTACTCTGTCCTCAGAACAGAACAAAACCAATTTTCTCAGATTCTTCACAGTTGACATTTTGTACTATATTTTGCACCAGACATGAGAACCAATGTCTTAGAATATTTCACATAATTTAGAAATATTAACTGTTATTACAACCAATAATGTCCAATAACTAAATAAAATATTAAGATTTAACAATATTTGTAAGAGAAATAATGTTTCCAAAGGTCTTAAAATTTCTTTTGAAATATGGCTTCTTTGTGTCTCAGCATGATCCCATTCTCTTAGTTACTTGGCCCTAAAGAAAAATATCTTAATATTTTAAGAAATATTCTCTTGTCAATATTGATTTAAATATCAGAAAGATATTGTCTACTTGCATTAAAAGTATGTAAAGTATTCCTAAGTAATATACAACAGGGTACCTATTGTTCATGAAATGTACTTCTTTACATCAGCAAATGGTCAAAGTCCTCCTGCTAAATATGTATGTCTACTACAAGAGCCATAGCTGACACATTGCATACCTGGAAAAAGCATGTCATCTAACGTGTAAGTTTATTAAGAGAATACATTGATAAGAATTCTGCCTCTTTTCATGTTCACACAGTGAGAATTACTAAAAAATATGCTCACTGGGCAATAATTCTCTGATTTCCAGTAAACTCTGTATATTCAAGTTTACTATTAATAATATTTTTCCAAATAAAATTGACATCTTGTCATATACACATTCTTATTCTTGTGGTACACCTTAATATATCTCTTCAGTGTGTCCTCAAGTATGCCCTTTAAAAGAATCCACAAGAAATTTATTTCATGTGGGAAATAATACAGTTTTTCTCCAGTAGAGGAGACAGTGCTCTGGAAATGGGAGCTAGACAATGAATATGTTAGTCCTGCATCATTGACCTGATACCATATTCAGTATGTGTGAAAATCTCTCCACCCTTCTGTGCACAAGCTGCCTATCTATCCAATACATGTTGTACCTAAGGAGAGTCCAGAAATTAATGAATATTCATTATTTGTATTTTTAAATAAATTTCATACCTTTGGAGACTGTGAATTTATTGGTAAATGCAGTTGTAAAACAGCTCTGCAGGCTGGAAAGATGTGAAACTCTACACAGTGTCTCACTCCATTTCATAAGGTTTTTCTGTCTCCTTCTCTCTGTGCCACTTCTTTGTTATCAAAGCCACTGTTATGTTTTTGAGTAATTTATTCATGTAATTTTGAGTGTTGTAACATAAAGCTCAGCTATCCTTGACATAGACAAAAATAAGATCTATTTTATCTCAACTCTAATTATATGAGGTATTCATAGAAAAAGTGAAAGTGCAGAGAGGAAAGCATCAAGTGTATTGAACCCACCCTGAATTTCTCCAGTTAATGTGAACCAAGCAACATCTTTTCAATATGTAAGAAATATTTTTGTGTCTCTGCTGTGGCAAGTGTCTATCACTGTGGAGAATCAAAAACTAAGCAGAGACATTCCTCACATTCCTCACCAAATTCACAGTGTACACCTACATTCAGGCAAACAATGAAATATTCATTTATAGAAATAAGACAATGTAACTTCAGGGAGTAGGATAACTTTCTTTAATGCTGTGAAATAACCATTATCATTAGTACTCAATAATATCTCAATGTTTGCTCACTTATATCATGCATTTGTCACATATTTATCATTCATTATGTGTGTAATATTTACTCAATGCAGAAAAACCAACTAATAAATTAATGCAAATGTAATAACAAACTTACCTACATGAAGTAAATTATAGATACAAACAGAAGAATTCAAAACTAAATTATCAGACTCCACAACCAAAATATAAAACTTTTTAAAAATATTACCCTGGAAACATAGTTTTTAATCCAGGTCCAGAACTCTTAACCATGGGTACAATTAAAGTAAGATTTTGGTGCTATCCACTTTCTTAAAAAGGAATGAAATCAAGCGCTGACATTACACTTCTTTGGTATTGGAGTAGACTGACTCAAGTATTTAAAGGATATGAAAGCTACAAGGATATATTTGAGTGGCATCAGGAGAAAGACATGAGCTGAATAATATATGATCACTCTCTGTCATATATGGCTGCCCTCGCTGTATACAGCTTGATCCATCCACTCCACTTAAATGTGATTTTCCAGGAATACCAAAAGAAAGAGGGCAAGTATGTTGCTGGAGTGACAGGGTAGTGAAATGCTGGTTTGGGTCTTCAAGGTGATGACTTGGCAGCCAGTTACTGGTATAATACACTGTGTCCATAAACTGACAATAAACCAAATGTAAAATAGCTGCATTTTGGTACCCAATCACCTACAAAAGGGGACATTAAGACTACTTGGTCTTTGATTTTTGAATGATGATAGCAATGTGGGCACATTGAACTACATTATGAAAAAATATCACCAAATGGATAAAACAACATAGCAGAAACAGTTCAGAGCCAGATGCACAGGAATCTGACATTAAAAGTTAATGACACTTTGGCTGCAGTCATCCTCATCCAAGTTATAAGGCCACTATGGGAAGGGGACCAGGGAGTAGCAAAGAGATCTGATAGAAACAAGCCAATGTGGGTTGCATTACACAAATGCATGGAAGCAACACTAGGAATCTCTTTTTATCCCAAACTAGCAAAATTGACATGTCTTTTTCATATATCTTATGTTTTCTCTTCAACAAAATCAGAGAAGAAAAGGATGGAATAGGTTCTACCCAGAAGTAGGAGGGAGGTGGCCCAAACAATATATACACATGTAAGTTAATGTAAAATGGTAAAATGAAAGGAAAAAAGAAAAAAAGTAAGAAAGGAGAAGTTTCTCCTTGTGTTCTCATGATTTCAGTTCATGAATTGCCCTTCTTAAGAGGAATTCATGTTACTGGTATTTGGAGGAGGGAATGATGAAGGTGAATGGATTAATGAGTTATAATGGGAGTGGTTTTGTTACAAGAGAGCACTGAGGCTTGCCAGCTCTGTCTCATCACAGGAATCCTCTACCATTCTAAGATTAAGAAGACCCTTGTCAGATGTCAGAATCATGCTCTTGAACTTTTCAGCCACCAGAACTGTGAACCAAATAAACCTTATTTTTTATCCAAAAAAAGAGGAAAGGGACAAGTGACCAAGGACAGGGGGTCAAGAGAGGGCCACTGGGATTTGTGAATATGATCAAAGAAAATTTGTCCTATTGAAGTACCTAGGGAACAGTTTAGAAGGTTTAGAAGAATCTATTGATGCTATTGTAGGTAAGCCACCTATCAGAAGTAGAATTGATATAAACTAAAAGAAAAATTTTATTATGTTTTCTGATGCCCTAACACAGCAAAGAACATATACTTCATAGTCCTCCCAAGTGCATATTTTCATATTGATATCCTCCCATCTAGCTACCGAAACAGTCAAGATAGTCCTCATGATTAGTAGAGAAGGTGTCAAAGCCTTTCCTACATCCATCCCTCTGCACTTACTAAGTTGTGCTGCTTCTCTTCATGGTTATGCCCAAGGCACGGAGGCCCAAAGACCCCCTCCTGGCCTTGTACCCAATGGAGCTTCAGGCTGATTCTTCAGGATTGAGGTGAATCCAGTGATAGACATGAGTTTGCTGAGGCAGACAACTGTAAATAAGGAGACAGGGATAGAATCAAGAACACTGGAGACATTAAACTGAGCATTAACG